ATAAATAAACTATCAATAAAACTTTAGCGTAAATATGTTTTAATAAGAGATTATAATAATTAATTTATCATAATCTCTTATTTAAATGGTATTTATAATATGTCATTATATAATAGAATTTTAATTAATCAATTATTAATTCATGATACGTGCCATAAGGGTATTCACATTTCATGCTGCTGTGTGTGTATTCAAGCATTGAATGAAATGATAAATTATTTATTTACTCTGAATAAAACAGACAAGTTATATAAATGTGTATTTTCGTGTCATATAAGCGATGTAGTTAATTTATATGTAATATAATTTTATTTTAAATAACTTTTATAATTTTTTAATGCGAACATTTCCAGATTATCGCCAACTTTGGAGGGTCAAGTTTTAGGTGCTTATAGGAAGCAATAAAAGGTGAGAGTATATATATTTCTCAATAGTTTTATTTTAAATACTGTTATTTTCTTTTGTGATTATTTTCTTTGCTTTTCTTATATTAAAAAATGCTTTAACAACTCAATACACAATGCTTTGATAAAGTCATGTATTCTAAAAGTACAACAACAGGCCATTATACTCGTTAATCCTAAAATAGTTTGATATAAACATAAAATTTCCTAAAACAGACATCGAATGCTTGTACGGCTAACGTAATTGAAGTGGCTGTACTTTGAAAACTTGAGACAATTGCTTTATACAATATCTATTATAGTATAGGCTCTTTAGATCTTATATATAAATAAGATAAGTAATTAAGGATAGAGAAATGTATACCTATTAAAATATTGATTTCAATTTACTTAGAACAAACATTATACAAATGTTATTACTTTGTTAGGTATAATAAAACCACTTTAATTAACAACACTTCGATAGATTAATCGTCAAATAACGAGATGAAATCTTCCCATCAGTTAAATCCTGAATAACACTAATTTCTAGACATATATTAGCTGAAAGCTAAATGACTATTTATGTAAATAATTGTTAGAAAAACATTTATCTCTATAACTCCAAACTAACTTATATTCTAACAAAACGTTCTCCAACTTAATAATTATTTGACACAAATATTATTAGAGTAGATTTTTAATATAAAATAAGTAAGAATATCGTTAATTACCTTTAAGACCGTGAATATGTTTTCAATACAAAGCGATCAATTTAATTCATCTTAGAAATAATTCAAAGAACTCTTACAAAGTAATATTTTTATAAAAAATAGTTAGATTTGTCTATCAATAATGGACTTTTATTCCCAAAGAGGGTTGACATCAGGCAGGCGACCGGTCATAAAAACAATCAGCCAAAACTGTTTACAACATGTAAGGCAGACCCTGGCTAAAGCTGGGAAAATTCCCAGGTAGAAGAAGAAGAATGGACTTTTAAAATCTACTTTATTTGATTTATACTCAGGTCAATGACACAATGACTTTCGACCTCTGAAACAGAACGCTCACTTTAATGACAATCGAATCTTGAATTATTATTCTATATGCTTAATATAAAAAATACTGACAACTTCTAAGTGCTCCATTTTCAATAACGCCTGCGAAATTTTTCATTTATAATACACAATTGGTGCGGCTTCAATATTATAAAAATATACTAAAAAATAGTCAAAGAAAATATGTTTTTGACAAAATAATATTAAAAAGAACAATTTATTTTCGGAACCGGAAAAAATGCGAATTTTCTATACCAAAGCGTAATCTGTTGTCAGTTTTGAACCAAATCAATATTTCACGCTATTACTATGGTGTCATAAATTTTGGAATAGTTACTCGAAATGAAATATTCAACGAAAAACTCCTGTACAATGTTTATTTGCATTATATTTTTATCCAATATAAAAAGATTACTAAATTATTTACGTAGCTTTGTTGAAATCTATATATATAAAATTCTCGTGTCGTGGTGTTAGACAGAGAATTCCTCCGAAACGGCTGGACCGATTTTGATGAAATTTTGTGAGCATATTGAGTACATCTGAGAATCGGCCAAAATTTATTTTTCATACCCCTAAGACATAACGGTTGTTCACCCTTAATTTTTTATTTTTAGTTTTGGACGAAATTTTTTGTTTTCATTTTTTTATCACCAACCCCAATTTTTTATATATCAAAACAACTTTTGACGGGTCAGATAGTAGTTTTATATTAATTTATAAAGATATTGTTACATAATTGTGTATACGATTCTCACAGTCTAGTCGCTGTGCTCCGTAAAGCGTAACACGCTCCCACATCACAGTAATGATTAATACGAGAACTAAGACTTTATTAATTATAAATTCTATTGTAAATGAGAATGCGATCATTTGTATATACTCGGCAACATGACACATTTTAACCGACTCCAAGCAAAGAAAGTTTGGTTATGTTTGTGTGAGTGCTGTGGTTGTGAGAGTTCATTTATAAGTATTTTTTTTATTTAAAATATTTTATTATGATTTGATATTGAACAGACAGAGAAACAGATCTTCTTGTTCAAAGCTTATTCTGAAATATTTCGAAACAATTGAAAGTTACTTTATATTTCTTTCAAAAGTTTTCATACTGAATTAATTGAATGGTTTAAAAAATTGAAATCTGAAACACATATAGCAGAAGCAAATCTGGATTAAAGTATTCATAATTAAAACACGAACATTTTTCTAGGACTAACTCTAGATAAGTACCGTCTTGTATACAGAAGGCTAATACCAAGTTGGTAAAGTTCCTCTCTGAAATGGCAATGAGGGCAAAACTCAATTAGATACTCGACTACTGCATATAATAATTATCTCCAATTACAGTCGTTTTAAACACTTATTTAAGCTAGATTGCGCCAAATTAACGCTTGAGTGCTTCAATTTGGAACTCAAAGTCGAGATGAATTTGATACTTTGTAATTGCATTTATTTCAATTGTTGCAATTATTCGTAAATAATTACATTTTTATAAAGAGCTTTGAGTTACAACAATGTATATATCAGCTTGTGTTATTAAATAAGGCGGAATGAAATGCAATATGCATGGACCTATCAATTGCTCAAGTATTAGGTAACATGTGATGTTAATTACTTTGCATTTCTAATATAATAATAAATTTTGTTTGTGTTTCAACAAAAAGACATGTATATTTTATTTAAATAAAACTAAACGTCTGCCCGTTAATGATCACGGTTGCTGAAAAGTTACCGAAACATCGGGAGTATGTAGTTTGGTTATAACAATATACGCGTAGTAATCCGAATAATATTAGTTTCATTTAAATGAATACTCGCGAAAGTCTTAGGTCTCATGATGTATATTTTATTATTTATGATATTTGTTTCGTAAAACTAAAATCACGGAAACAAGCTCTTAATGAGCAAGCAAAACTGTGTGTTTACCTAGTTTTCTGCATTATAGTAAAAGCATACCATTTATAGTTATAAACGAGAGGTATTCTCATAGGTAAAGCATGCTTTAAAATGAGAGCATTTCTATTAAGCGTTTAATTGCCTATTATTACATCGCTGGAGTCTGGCACATGCATAATTAATTTTAATAAATTTATTTTAATAGCTCGTATATTTTTCTTTTATATGGTTCAAATAACAGAGGAAAATCTAACAGACTATATAAACGAAACTTTTTTATCATTTTATACATTAAAACGCCTTTGAACTTTGTTAAAATGTAACGGTATTTTTATTCATTTGCCTTTTTCTAAACATATATTCAGGTTAGTGTAAAACTTAAACTGTTTCAAATCAATCATCCGTATTAAATAATCCTGAATATATGGTTATTATTATGTATTTGCATAAAGAAAGAGAAAACGTGTTTTGTTTGCTATTTTTGTTGAAATAAAACTTACATTAAAAAAGAAATTACACAAGAAAACTTTTTTGTTATTAAGCATCAACTTGTATACTTTATTGCACAAATATTATAAATGTAGTTATTTTTTTATTTTACATACTTTAAAGGGAATTCAACAGAATGGTTTTGCGAGGGCCTACATAAAATCATATCTATAATAGGTTACTGCGTCCAATTTCAGCAACATACAGACAAACTTTACTTCTCTATATTAAAATCATTCTGAATAGACATGTATGCAATGACGTCATAGCTGTAATTAAACACAACCCTCGCGTAAATGTATGGAATGCTTTTAATCAATGAGCTGGGAATACCAAACCTAATACTAAAATTATTATATTGGTAAATAATGATTAAAAGTTTAAATTCCAATATTAAAACTACATACAAATTACTAATCACGTGAAATCAGTTCACGTCTTTATCCCATTCGATGCATATTCAAAGTGCTGACACATTTGGATAATAACAGAGTATTATTTATTTGAGATGTCAAGCAAAAAACACCTTTATTTCCATGTTCATAGTGGTTACATAGGCTTATTCGATTTTGACAGATGATCCTTTGCCTCCCGCATAAGAGATGAAGAATAATGGGATACAAAACAAGGGCGACTACCGGGCATTACGTCTAATTCATTAATTTTACACAGACATAACCAAGCGAAAGTAAACTTTAAGTGTGGCTCGGTTGAGTTGAATTTAAACTTCACAAATTATTAACTAAATTTGCGCAAAACTGCTCTGTGTGCGTGGAGGGGTTGTCATAGAAACTGTAACACCATGCGCGCGCAGAACACTCACTCACACACCCTTAAAATCTCCCCTTACAGTAGGAGCAAGATAGCCTACGTACAGTCGATAACAAAATCATTATCGAAATACACGTACAAATATTTAATATATCCATCTAAAACATATATTAAATATTCCTCTGAACAAAAATAATTATAATTAACGAAAATAAATATAAAAATAACCATTCATCATACATGTATACTCATGTAACCACAAAGAAACGTATATGAAATAAAAGAATATGAATGGATAAAACTTTTCTATGTAACAGTACATTTGAACGCTCACATAGACAAATAATACGTACACAGAAGTGACCTGTGTGTGTGTGTTTTATACCACAGATTCTGCGCGATGGATGCCAGTATTCTCGCAACCATGGACAAAGAGGCACTGAAAAAGCAGATCGAGAACATGAAGTACCAGGCCTCCATGGAACGCTGGCCGCTGTCGAAAAGCATTGCAGTGTGAGTAACACATTACATATTTTATTTACGACCAAAAAAAATATATACTCGTGTAGTGACGTCATTAGCGTGCAGTGTAATAATTAGGCCGTCCAGCCGGGAGTGGTTGATAGTGAGTGCAGGCGATATTAGTGCTTTATGTTATGTACTTGAGGTACACATTCCCATGGAATTATATTAAGTGAGACGTTCGAAACGCTATCGGTAATCGGACATCGAGATTTTGAGCGGTCGTTTCGATTCTGAGGTATTCTGTGTTTACATGTTTGATTATCCGTCCCCGGTAAACGGAGTGCTGTCTAAAACTTTATATATCACACATGTTATTGATGTTACCGTATAATAAATTCACAAAGTTGAAACTTCTATATCAAACATTACATAGAGCTACAAACATTTAAGAGATGACTGAAAGGAGATATTATCTGCTTATATTAATGGAACACTTGATGTACAACTTTGCAATCATTCTTGTGATATTCTAGTACACTTCACAACGACGTTTCATTTACAGAATGCTATATTTGAGATCGTCATTAAAAAGAAATCGTCTACAATATTATTAAATCGATTATTTGCGTTGAATTATTCTTCTAAAATAAAATAGAATAAAGAAATAATTATTTTTGTCGTTTTTTCTTTGACATGTTTGTTCACTAAATGCAATTTTTGTTACGTAAGAGATATATTGTTTTTGTATTCTATTGTATGAAACAAATAATATGTAGCTTCAAAACAATAGTATTTTTTTATCAATTTCTAATTTCAAGCTACTATCACCCGCGTCTACGTACACGTGGTAGTCTGGTTCACAAAGAACTGATTTAGATTTCCGTATATTACATGTATGGCTAAGTTTTTATGTCTATCTTAAACTTAGCAACAGATTAATCACGGATTCCCAGTATCAAGCTCAGAAGCGATATACTCTCTTATACTTCGTGTACCATTAAATAAATACACATATATTGTGCAGAAATTATTTTGTCATACTCTTATTTATATATGTATTTATAAAGTTCATATAACCAATGTTTGAAATTAGATAATTTGATATTGAAAATTATTGCAATAATTTAAAAGCGATGGAAATCTTTTATAAAAAGCAAATTTATATGTATATAAATAAAATCATTTACTCAAGTACAACTTAGAAGTGGTTAAAAATGAGATTTAAGCAAAAAGAAATGTTTCACTAACTTACACCACCCTAGTTCAATATGACCCTTAATTCATTGTAAAGTGTGTTATAAAAACATCCCCTTGTTTGGGGTTACAAATCTTAACGCAAGGTTTTTTTTAAATTAAACAGTAACAATAAGCATATTAGAACTTAGTTCATATAAAGAAATATATATATATTTGTATGTATATATTATTTGAAACTATTGAAACGAATATTTATGTAAAACATATTGAATACCGTTCGTGATCAATAAAATATATAAAGAATGAATTACCTATTAGATATCGGAAGGATAAATGTTAATTATATGTATGTATATGAACATTAATATAATATTGTCCTGTTTAAAGTTTATAATAATAAACATTTTACGTCATTAGTTAATAATTTACATGAGATTATTACTTTTTGTTATAATTTTAATTGAAAATCAGTTTACTTGAACATTTCATGACACAATGAATAAGGTAGTAAGAAAATTAAAGATAGACTAAGAGCTTTCTTATCCAATTCATGTACAAAATCTAGTTTTATTAAGTAACTTCAATTATCTGACTAAAAACCACAACCATAAAAAAATATGTAACAGATAAAGTCAAACTATACCTAAGTACATGACATCACTAAAAATAGACGAGTCACGCCATTAATATTTTATCCCTTTCATAGTTATTACCACTATCACGTGCAAGAAAAGGACGGTATATAGCTAACAAGAAGCTATTAATATATTAATAGAGGTTAATTTGGGTTGACCTTAAACCCTAAAACAATAAATTGAACTAAGCGACCCTAAATTACAATTCGGAAGTGGGTCGTGACCCGAAGCTGTCACGTTAAATAAATGGAAAAAGTTAGTTTACTTATTTGGGATTGGGTTACAAAAACACTTATTCAAATGGAACAATAAAAGGTTCTTGTTTCCTTTTGATATTTGAAAAACCCTAGCGCGTTATAACATACTGTTACTTCTCAATAGGTTTTTCTTGTGGTCCAAGTCTCCATTGTATGTTATAGAGGTTTGTGTCGTTTCCTAGAGCGACGCGTAACCATTCGGCTAGATTTAATTTAAATGTATTAAACGGCTAACTGATGATTCTAATCAGTTCTCTGATTCATTTGAGATAAACTTACGTAATTCTATTTTGAGCTGTCACCACCTGATATTGCAAGAAAACTTTTTAATGTTGGTTATTAATACAAAAATAATTGTTACTAGCCGGGATATCTAGAATTTGATTATTCTTAATGAAAACCAACTATACTAGTTCTAACAATTCGTTCTTGTATTAGAACAATGGCATTTTAGGAGGATTCACATGGACTTAACCTAGTTTCAACCGCTTGTTAGGAGTTCAACACGTCAGGGCGTCCTTATCACGGGATTACAATGGGTAGAGGTAGAGGTAGGTAGTCCCTTACACTTTCTCTGGTATGGAGTAGGGTTTTTGACTAAAATTGTAAATTCCTCTTCAATATTTTTTCTCTTCAATATTCTGTAATAACAAAAGATTTCTTCTATATCGACTCCCTGACTTCTTTGCTATTTACTTAGGGTTGTCACAATATGTACTTCTCTTCGAAATCCCCCTTTCATTCGTCTTACCAGAATTCATAGCTCTCTTATAATTTTTCACACAATCCATTCAACATTTCTCAACCCTCCTCTACGCTTGTATCTACATTCATCTCATAACTTCTTTCGTTGTATGCCTTTCATCCCTTTCAAATAACATGCCCGAACCACGCTAACCTATTGCTCCTTAATTTACTTGTCAATCGTGAAACTTTCAACCTTCCTCTTAAATGTATTCTTGATCCTATCGATTCTTGTCAACCCACAGATACGTATCTCTACCAAATGCAATCTCAAAAAGAAATTATATCTTCAAACACTTTTTTTGCATATAAAATATATCGACATGCTTATAGTTTAATATTGATTGAAAATTTTGTAACTAAAAATTTATTTCTTAAACAGTACGCGACGCTACATTCAATGCTAAGTTAATCGTGACACAGTATAATAAATTTTCTTAGTTACATATTCTACACAATAAGCTAAAATATTTAAAAAAATACGAAATGAGGTCATATAAACCTAAATAAAAATATATCACCATGGAAGTAAATAGGAAAAAAAAATCAATAGTCGTATCGAGAATCCCTGTCATCTTTATGTGGTTTTAAAAGATAGAAAGCTATGTAAATTGTAAGCGTAATTTCAATTACAAATAACCGAACTCAATTTAGTATCAAAAGCCAAAGTAAACAGATCAAGTCGGTGACTTTATTGAATTTCGGGGAGCCAATCACTCCGCGGGTACTAAACCCGGCTCGTACAGACCAGCTATCCATATATTGGCTATAAAAATAACATTAAATAAATATATTTTACTAATAATATATAACAACTATTTTATTTAAAAAAATACGCGTAGTAATCTGGAAATAGGTTCATTTAAATGAATAGTCACGAGTTGTAGATCGTGGATTTTTTTATATATATTTTAATTAATAAAATTAAGATCATCAATTGATAAAACCTAATTGAGATAAAGGTAATCATTTACTTAAGCTAATCTCATAGAAGAGCTTCTCATTGTAAATATTAGCCTTAAGTTCATTAATGAAGGAATGAGTTCTTGGATATTTATATAAAGTTTAAAACAAAGTCTTGTTGAAATACAACATACGACTATAAAAAATTAAACTTTATAGTTTTAACTAAATATCTAACCAATTTTAATAACTTTTTAACTATTTCTTTATTTTGTAATTGTTTGTTATATAATAACAAAATCTTTGTTGATACTTTCATTAGTTTTATAAATTGAATTGAAAAACCATTATTTGAGAGAAGTTTCTTTGTTATAAAATATATACTTTTTGTTTTTTAAACTTTTTACCGAAGTAACGGACAATAGTATTTTATTCATAATTATAATGAAAATACACAACGACTTTAATAAACATTCACTAATAAAAAAAGATTTAATTTACAAACATTCAAATTCCACATGGATGAATTCAAGATTTTAGTTATATAAAACTAACTTTATAAAGACGAACCGATCAGTCACATATAGTGATATTTAACTGTTGATGATTCCACATCTGTGTACACAGAACACTTCTGATCTCAGTTGGCGTTAAAAACATCTTCCTCTTACTGTAACAAAAGTGTCAATCAATGAAAATAATGAAAAAAGAATCCATTTCATAGAAAACAAACATTATCATCCATATTATTAAATATCAAGAACATTACTGACGTAATATAACCGTCGCGATGGTCTAGAAGTTAAAGGTCCGTCTCTCGTGCATGAGGGCGCGGGTTCGAAACCTGACAAAGTGCCAATGTAATTTTTCCGAAGCATAGGTACTTTATAAGAGTATTTAGACACCACTGACAGTTGAAGGAAAACATCGTGAGGAAACCTGGACTTATAATTTCAAATTATAAGTTTGAAATCGCCAATCCGTCTTGTGAAAGCATGGTGTTTAATGTTCAAATCTTCTTCATGTGAGAAGGCCTTTGCTCAGCAGTGGGCTCTGATAGGCTGATGATGATGAATATTATTTATTCATTTGTTTTAAAAAGCTATAAAATCCACAACAAAAATAATCTTCATTTATGTGGTTCATTATCATTTACCTCTGATATAACGATAATATTTTCAAAGCTCTAGATTAATAGTCCCATTACTATATCCTTAATATCATTTTTATCGCACACGAACATAAACGTACTCACAACACTCAATACACTCAGCCGGTCCAACGAAATTGGATTAGAAAACTAATTTAACAAATGGCACAGAGATGTTTTGTTTTAAACGACGATTATATAAAATATATACAATGAATACTTCATGACTCCGCTTGCTTGTTCTCATGAATTATATATTTTTTATTGTATTATTAATTATTTATAATACAGCGGATTTGTTCGCGTGAATGATAAAGAGTTTTATTATATATATAATATAAAAATTTATTACTTACCATACAATATTTCCGTAAAATCAATACCAATAATCGTTTATATAACTATACATTTCGCCTTCCATTAATTTAATATTTTATATATTATACGAGGCTCTAATACACTATGAATGCCTTTAGAATACTTAACGTGATTACGCTTTTAAGTAATAAAAATATAACTACAGAAAGTTAGTTACTTATACATATAACCAAGTCTTTTCAATTACAATAGACTTTGATACAACATATTTAAAGACATTTATAACGATTAACATTAATAAGAGGGGTGTTAAGGCTGGGTGTTGAGTTCAGTGTCTGTTTGTTTGTTTCATCGTAGCTCTGAAACGGGTTCATCGATTCCGATGTAGTCTTTTCATTTCATGCGTTTTTTGGCTGTGTTAGGTTACAATCGGTTCATAAGTATATGATTGTCAACTTCTTTTCAAAACGATGTAAGGTATTTGTGATGTATCATAACTCACTTGGCTTTCTCTCCCGAGCAAATATCTTAAAATGAGAATTATAGATTTATTTTAGTACTAACAAAAACTTATTTATAGTTGTTATTTATTTAAACTTGATACCCATCAAGCAATCTAACAAATAAAATACAAGTTAACATTTAATAGAAAATAGGTAACATTTGTCTCAAGCTATGATAAGCATCTTTTTTGTCAAATGTAATGAATCAAATAAGTTTCTCTCAAAAACATGTTCAAAGCATGTCTAACGTATTGATTTAATAATTGTAGAAAGCATCGTCATAGTATGTAGTCTTCTTAATATAACAATATTAAAGAAAAACGTTGTTTGTTATAAGTAAATAATAAAAAATAACACATATATTAATAATCCTAAGTTTTTTAGATGTAATAAAATTTTTCTATAACTAAATTTATGTATAAATCAATGTATCTTAGTATTCTCTCATAATTATTATTCTCTATTAGTTTCAGTTACATTTTTTTCTTATAAAACCTTATTTACTTCTCCGTGTACCATATTACCACTATGACATAATATTTCTTCACTCTCTTGCAGATGTGCACGTGATATAAATCGTACAACATTTTGTTACATGAAAAACGTAATATCTTAGTTGATTCCTTTCGTACGTGTTATGAAAAAATATTTTTGTTACAGGATGAGGGAGTACGTAGAGGAAAATGAAAAGAACGATCCTCTCATACACGCCCCCGACAAGAAAAACAATCCATGGGCCGAGAAAGGGAAATGCATCATCATGTAAACTAAGTAAACAAAAACAAGAATATCACCAAAAATTGTAAATGACACCGTTTTGGCAACATCACTATTGGTCTGGTTCTTTGAGGCTGTTATCGGGTTATTGAAAATTGCTACTGCCAGACAATATATGACTAAGATCTAACGCTGTACTAGCCATGGAAATTCGTTCACCAATACATCGTACGGTTTTTGTTCCCCAAAATCTAGTCCTCGTATTAATTCAACATATGACTGCGCGACGCAAGTATGTACTTATGAATGTTTTGTTGAAATAAAAAATGGTTGTAAATACGTTAAATTTTGTATTTCTAGTAAAGTAACGTTCGGTCGATTCTATCCGTAGTGAATAAACGAGATACACTAAATGTTGGAAGATTAAAAAAATGGAAATGTTCATTTAATTACCGACGTATTTTACATTTGATTGATGATGATTTTATTTTGTTGAATGATCCTCCCTTGGTGATGTTTCAAGAGAATATTGTTTATTAAATGAATCCGAGTGTTTCCATGCAAAATAAAGCAACTTCCTCTTAGATATTTGCGTGGATTCACTTCGGATTCTAAATTGATTTATATAATACGACTTTATATGTTTATTTTCGTTCTCCTCGGTTGACGATCTCACACTTTGTCATCGCATTAGTATATAAAATGCTATTAAACTTAAAGATCCATTGAGCTCGTGAATCTTTAGGTTTGAATATACAATTATTAAATAATGATAATTAAAATATAGGGTAAAGCACATCACAACTTAACATCTATTTGCTGTATCACAGAAATGAAGTTAAAAGTTCAGGAATATGTATTAAGTAATGGCAATAAATGATAATTAGGCGTGTTAAATGACGAAATATTAAATGTAGATGAATGAAAAATTAATGTTAAGGTAATTTTCAGAAATGAAACATAATCTCGTTTGAAACAATTTAAATGGTAAGTTTATTTAAGATAATTTTTTATGTGTGGTACATTCCGCGGTGCCATCATCTTGTAATGCTTCTATGTAATATTAGAATATCTTCGCTCTTTCATTCAACACTTACGTGATTGTTTGATCCTTATCGACATTATGTAGATATTTTTATAACATTTATTTATTACCTATAATTTAGTTTAAACTTCCACCTCTCGCTATATGAATCTAGATAAATAAATCTATTGACTACAATTTTAAAACCTAGCACTTGATTAGCTTAGTATTAATTCTAAATTAAATTGATACTTTATCTATCACGAGAAATTAATCACTAATGCGGATATCGTAGTTTCAAACAAATAAAATTCTTCTAAATTATATCTAAGTTTGGATATGAATTGCTACCAGAACTATGTAGTTGTAGAATGAATTCTACTAGAACGGAGTCTGGTAGCAAGAGAATCCTGAGTAGCGCTATAATCTAACATTCCATTAAAAGGGATCACTTATGATCCCTACTTTGATAAATAGGAAATTTAAACTTACGCACTGTAGGTAATTATGTATTAAATTAAAATCTAATCCCAAAAAAAAAAATTAAACTTAAATATAAAATTTACCTTCCTTCTTACCATATCTAGACACGATCTATGAAAAATCATTCTGGCTGTGAGTATTTTCTTCTTCTCCATTACTTTAGAAGCTTCTACATTTCTTTAGGAATTTATCATCGTCGTTAATTAAAAATATTTGCTAATACCGACAATAAAATACGCGAAAATGTAGCCCCCTTACACATCTTCACCCATACGTAGACATCTATTTTAATAGTTTGAAGCATCCCCTTCATCTAAATCTTTGAGTAATCTGATTATAAACTCGCTTTCATATTCCATTTCAAACGTTGAGTTTCAACATTGTAACTGTCCTTTTAGTAAAAAAAGAATAGTCTTAAAAATAGAATCTTAGCGAGTAATAAGTAGTATTAGATATAAATTAAAAGCAAAAAAGTCAAAGTTGTTTGTTAACTTATACTATAAAAGTCGCAATTCAGAGAATTAGCCGTAGTTATAAAGTGAAAAAGTAATGAGTTTATTTAAAAAATCTAGTAAATAAATTAAGGGATCTCATGTGAGAATGTGTGGCGAGTGACAAAGTGTTGAGTTTTACTTTTATTATCTCTTGAATCAAAACCAAGGAGTTTCGTTACATAATGTTTTGTTTTTTAATGTATTTTAATTTATATTTTTATTTCTGTTAATCCTGACATAAACCAAAGATTTTTTCGCATTTTCTTGGACTTATGTCCTTCCTTATTGTAAGGCGAATATTAAAAAATCATTGTTAGAAATCAATTCTAATTGATATGATTATTTAATATTCGTCATATATTTTAGCTAATAATTAACTTAATCGGTACTTTTTAACAGATTTTTCCAGAAATCTAATAACTAGATAAGGTGATATTGGAAATGATTTTTTTAGAATCAATAGGCTAAGGTATTATATGTTATTATTAATATGTAATCAGTAATCACTGAAATAAATTAAAAACCTTTATTTCTGTGTTTTAATTTACTCTACATAGTTTGTTGGTACATATAAACCTTTTGTAACTGAAATTCTCAATAAAGAACTGTTAGTGACTTACTTACATTTGTTTTAAAAAAGGTGAAAGAAATTATCTGATTATTAAAAGCTCATGGAAAGTCTGTGCTAAGTCTAACTGTGCCAATTTTTAAACAATTGACAATTAAGAGAACCCTAGTTGAGTTTGAGCCATATTTGTCAATATATAAATCATACTTTCAGAATTAAATAATCATAGCTAGTGATAAAGTATACACTAATGATAGGCCGACAAGGTGTTCATAAGTTATGGAATCTAAGACTTTCCCTATCTGAACTAAACTAAAAATGTTTATCTCCTGTACCCGTGATCACGGTTGATACAAAGTAACCGCGACATCGGGATTATGTGGTTTTTTAAATACTAAAATACGTGTATATAATAATCCGAAAATATTAGTTTCATTTATGGGTGCTTCAATGAGAAAATTGCGAGGTTCTTACAACTCCTAAATACTAACCCATAGCCGTCCCTAGTTGAAGCTTAAATTTCAATTAAATAAAATATATAAGGCCCTAAGTAATAATGAGATCTAAGATTCTTGCGAGTACTCGTTTAAATGAAGGTACTAGTTTCGGATTTAGTACGCGTTTTTTTTTATTTCATCTCGTCTGCCCGTGATCACGGTTGCTGTAAAGTAGCCGAACCGTCGGGAGTATGTAGTTTATAGTCAAAAATAAAAAAAGAGTAGTAAATCGGAAAATATTATTTTCATTTAACTGAAGTAATAATTCTTCTTAAATGCAACGAAATAAAATATGTCAAACAAATATTCATCAACATATAAACAATAAATTAAAGCCATTTCTATCATCATTTAAACCACTAAAATAGATATGTACGTAGCTTATATATACATACATATCCTAAAAGTATTTTCCTCACTTTATTGTCGATGAACAAAACTAAGAATTTTGTTTTTCAATGGAATTTAAAACTTATTCCGATCTTATTAGATTCAATTTCTGTTTGTTCAGAATGTTTAAATACAAACATCCCGACTACGAGAGTAATATCTAATAATAATGAAAATAATTTAACGCATTTTTATATCTTGTTATTGAAAGTTAATGACTAAAAAATCTAGTAAATAAATTAAGGGATCTCATGTGAGAATGTGTGGCGAGTGACAAAGTGTTGAGTTTTACTTTTATTATCTCTTGAATCAAAACCAAGGAGTTTCGTTACATAATGTTTTGTTTTTTAATGTATTTTAATTTATATTTTTATTTCTGTTAATCCTGACATAAACCAAAGATTTTTTCGCATTTTCTTGGACTTATGTCCTTCCTTATTGTAAGGCGAATATTAAAAAATCATTGTTAGAAATCAATTCTAATTGATATGATTATTTAATATTCGTCATATATTTTAGCTAATAATTAACTTAATCGGTACTTTTTAACAGATTTTTCCAGAAATCTAATAACTAGATAAGGTGATATTGGAAATGATTTTTTTAGAATCAATAGGCTAAGGTATTATATGTTATTATTAATATGTAATCAGTAATCACTGAAATAAATTAAAAACCTTTATTTCTGTGTTTTAATTTACTCTACATAGTTTGTTGGTACATATAAACCTTTTGTAACTGAAATTCTCAATAAAGAACTGTTAGTGACTTACTTACATTTGTTTTAAAAAAGGTGAAAGAAATTATCTGATTATTAAAAGCTCATGGAAAGTCTGTGCTAAGTCTAACTGTGCCAATTTTTAAACAATTGACAATTAAGAGAACCCTAGTTGAGTTTGAGCCATATTTGTCAATATATAAATCATACTTTCAGAATTAAATAATCATAGCTAGTGATAAAGTATACACTAATGATAGGCCGACAAGGTGTTCATAAGTTATGGAATCTAAGACTTTCCCTATCTGAACTAAACTAAAAATGTTTATCTCCTGTACCCGTGATCACGGTTGATACAAAGTAACCGCGACATCGGGATTATGTGGTTTTTTAAATACTAAAATACGTGTATATAATAATCCGAAAATATTAGTTTCATTTATGGGTGCTTCAATGAGAAAATTGCGAGGTTCTTACAACTCCTAAATACTAACCCATAGCCGTCCCTAGTTGAAGCTTAAATTTCAATTAAATAAAATATATAAGGCCCTAAGTAATAATGAGATCTAAGATTCTTGCGAGTACTCGTTTAAATGAAGGTACTAGTTTCGGATTTAGTACGCGTTTTTTTTATTTCATCTCGTCTGCCCGTGATCACGGTTGCTGTAAAGTAGCCGAACCGTCGGGAGTATGTAGTTTATAGTCAAAAATAAAAAAAGAGTAGTAAATCGGAAAATATTATTTTCATTTAACTGAAGTAATAATTCTTCTTAAATGCAACGAAATAAAATATGTCAAACAAATATTCATCAACATATAAACAATAAATTAAAGCCATTTCTATCATCATTTAAACCACTAAAATAGATATGTAC